CCCAGCTCCATGCCTGTCCGCTGTGACTGCCTGAGCAGGCACACAGATGGAGCCTGCCTCCCTTCTGCCTTTCTGTGGTTTGCCAGGGGTTTGGCATCTTGACTGGGGAGGATGTGAAGAGTCTGTGTGCTCAGAGCATTTTCTGGTGAAGATATCATCGGAGCACATGACCTCTGCTTCCTTCCCCCAAAGGCCACCGCTGGGCTTCTGGATCCTAGACATGAGACCGTCAAGAGATGGAAGTCATAGCCAGGTCCCAGGTGTCTGGAGAGCGTGGCAGGATGGGGAGGGCCTGGCAGCGCTGGGGGAGCCAAGAGAAGCTGGAGCGCCCCTCAGTAGCAGTGTGCATCTCCCCCAGGTTTGTAATCACGGGGCGCCATTGCCAGGTGGGGGCACCGGCCATCAGTGTCATCGAATGTCCCCATGGGACAATATTGAGAACCTGTGTGCACATCTGTCCTATTTCACAGTGCAGGGAAAGAATGGTGTGCAGTGCACGTGGGCCTCAGTGGAGAGGGGTGTGCGTGAATGAGTAGCGATGAACGAATGGACATGGTTCTCTCTCCAGCTCTTGGCATTGCTGTTTTCCTCAAGGCCCAGGGCCCTCCCCTGCAGAAGCAGGAGGGCTGCAAGACCCCCACTCATGGGACTCTCTGATGGGCCCCGCCCACGGGGTCTTGCCAGTGTGGAGCCTGTATCAGGACATCCTACACCAAAGGTCGGCAGTGCAGGGAGAGCGTGGACATCAAGTTGTTTCCTTCCAGGGGCGGAGTTCTGCAGAGACGCTTCACACACAGCTGCCACTGGCTCTTGGTATTAACAGTGGGCAACCCAGCTGAGGCTGCTTCACAGAGTCTTCTCCAAAAAATCCAGGTGTTATTTTTTTAAAAGCTTTTTGAGACAGGATCTGTCTCTGTTGCCCAGGCTAGAGTGCAGTGGTGCAATCTCAGCTCCCTGCAACCTCCACCTCCCATGCTCAAGCCGTCCTCCCACCTCAGCCTCCTGAATAGCCGGGACCATATGCGTGTGCCACCACACCTGGCTAAGTTTTGTATTTGTAGAGATGAGGTCTCACTTTGTTGCCCAGGCTGGTCTTGAGTTCCTGGGCATAAGTGATCCACCCACCTCAGCCCCCCAGAGTGCTGGGATTCCAGGCGTGAGCCATGGCATCTGGCCAAAACCAGGTGCTATTTGCTGACTCACCAATGCCTCCCCGAAAAGGATGCATTTAATTAAGACAGTTTGTCAATCATGAGGCGTAATTCAAACAAAACAAATTACTGTTTGGAATAACAGCAACTACAGGTATGTGGTCAGGAAGCAGTTAAAAACATGAGAACACACAAGCATATCTGGCCAGTTCCATCCCACCCAGCACTCCAGCCCAGGGTTCCAGGCAGGAGATGGGGACGTGGGCATCACGGCATGGTTCATGGAGGGCACGTGAACTTGAGACCCTGCTGCACCCTAGTGCCCCTGTGCTTGCAAAGGAGGGCACCTGCGCAGCAGAAGCAGCTTGGTCCCCGTTGTTTGAAGCTCCAGAGTCCAGGCCGTGAGCTCCTCGGCTGAGCCCTCTCCTGTCCCAGGGAGCTCCCCAGGTGGGAGGAGCCTGCCAGCCAGCAGGGCTATGCTCCCTGTTACTGGGTCTCTGCCAGGCTAAAGCCCGTGGTCACTACTTTAGTTCTACTCAAGGAAGTGTGTGCACCCTGCCCTGCTGGAAGGCACCACGGTTAGAGGGAGGGGCACTGTTTATCCAAGACGGTGACTGCTGGCTCTCATGTTCCCCTTCCTCAGAAGCTCCATGGAATTTTCTAGAGCAGGCATCTTAAGCCATTCCCACTGCACTTCTCTACCAATCCATGTGGCTCCCACGCTGTCGCTGTCTTTTGCCTTAGACTTGCGGCCTTTTCTTTTTCTTTATAATTTGAAAAATACTTTTCACGTGCACTTAAACATGCTGCAAAATGATGTTGGGTCTCAAGAACGTCTCGAATTGATCAACATTTTATTCCGAGGGTGTCTCATTTCCATGGACAGGGAAAGTGCTGCCTTGCATTCGCCACAGTTCAATTACCAGGAAAGCAGAGCTTTCTAGAAGTCTGGGCTTGCATGCAGTGCCCTGCTGGGCTTCCAAGACCTCCAAGCTGGGCCCTGCGCACTGTGTGTGGGGAGTGAGGGAGGCTTCTCCCATTGTTTTGATGGTGGAGCCGCAAGCTTGGGAGGCCTTCCCCTCGTGGGCGGGAAGCAGAGAGCCGGGGGGCTGTGAGGCTGGCAGGGAGCTTGCAGGACATAACTGCTCATTTATTTTTGGGGGGACCAAGGGATTTTTATGGATTCCATCTGTCACAGGGCTGCAGCAGTCCATGATGGGTGGGGCAGAGGGAGGCCCTGTGGGAGCTCAGAGTGACAGGCCTCTTGGCTTGCCTTCTTGTCCTTTCGGGACCATGATCTGGTTCTCTCGAGCCCCCCTCCTGCTCACATGGGCTGCAAACCCAGGCCAGCTGGGGTTCTGAGCCAGGAGCCCTCTCTCCATCCCCTCTGTGCTCGCTGACTCTGGCCCTCCTCCTGCCTCACGTGGGCACCCACCCATGGCCAAGCCTCCGGAGCCCTTCCTGGGCCCTGGTGAAGCAGCCCTTCCCTGCACCCACCCTCCATCAAGCAGAGCAGGCTCCTGGAAACGCAGCCGAGAGCAAGTTGTGCTCCCACCAGAAGCCCTGAGGAGTCCCGGGGCTGTGGTCTCTGCTCCTGAGCCTGGCATTGCTGGCCCTTTCTGTCCTCTGTCCCCACTGCTCCCCACTCCTATCCACACGGCCTCAGGCTAAAGTGCTGGGTGCCCTGGTCTTCCGGCCCCTCCCGGGGGCTGCATCCTTTCTGGATCTTCTCTTAATACTTCCTCCTCCTCTGCTTAGCCAAGTCCCTCCACCTGACCGAGGCAGACACAACCCTCCCTCTTCAGCTCTCACAGCCCCAGCGCCCCTCCCGAGGGTTCAGCCATATGGCGGGTAGGAGTGGGGTCAGACCCACTTTTATCCCCACACCTGCTGTGCAGCAAGCGCTGGCCATGCCTGCATGGACACATCACGTCTCGCTGGGGCGCAGGCTTCCATCCACTGGTGGGCTCCTCCGGTCTGCCACGCTGCCCCACTCCGTCCCCATGAGCCCCGAGGTGGGCACTATGTAATTTCTCAGTGGAGAGCCCCAGGCTCGAGGGGGCCAGGCCACTGGCTCAAGACCCTTTGAGCAGTGAGTCTGTGCTCTTTTTTTTTTTTTTTTTTTTTTTGAGAGGGAGTTTCGCTCTTGTTACCCAGGCTGGAGTGCAGTGGCGCGATCTCAGCTCACCGCAACCTCCGCCTCCTGGGTTCAAGCAATTCTCCTGCCTCAGCCTCCTGAGTAGCTGGGACTACAGGCTGCACCACCATGCCCAGCTAATTTTTGTATTTTTAGTAGAGACGGGGTTTCACCATGTTGACCAGGATGGTCTCGATCTCTTGACCTCGTGATCCACCAGGCTCGGCCTCCCAAAGTGCTGGGATTATAGGCCTGAGCCACTGCGCCCAGCTGAGTCTGTGCTCTTTTGATGACACAAGGTGGCTTCTCTCCTAGAAGCTTGTCCTGCAGCCCACCCCCACCTGGCTGTGGGCCTACCCACCTGGCCCTGGGGGCTGTGCTGTCTGGACTGCACCCGCTGCTTCACTGGCCGCACTGTGACTGCCCAGCCATGGCTGTGTCCTGGCACCATGGCCCACTGCCCACTGGGCTGGCTGGACAGTGTCTGGGGATTTGTGGGTTGGGGAGGACTTGTTTTCCTCTTCACCCCCAGGCACGATTAACCCCGTCTTGTGATTCGCCCCTGAAGAACCATTTGGTGGGTTGGGCCCTCGTTGGTGAGATGCTGTGAATTAGAGGCTGTTCCTTCCAACTTAATTGTAGAGGAGAGAAGCTGGTTCCAGGAAGGATGACCAGATTCTTCTCCCCGAGTCTTAAAAAGCGAAACAAGCTAGAACTCACTCTATTTCCTCAAATCTAAAATGCCATTGATTTGAAGCTGTCTCACTGTTTTATGTGCCACTGGGAAGGAAAAACCCAAAGGAAGGGCTGTGCTGGGAGATGCCCTCACAGGTGGGCCACTCATGGCTGGACTAAACCTGCCATAGCAGGGGACAACAGGGAGGCGCCATGTCCCCACGCCAGCACTCAGGGAGGAGGAGAAAACCCCCCTCACCGGACTGCACGCTGCCAGCTGGGGCTCTCGAAAGTATGAGTCTGAATTCACCCTCAGACTTGGGCTGGAAAGCTCAGACAGGGAAGCCAAAGGACCATGGCCGGGAGGCTGGCGGGGGCGGTCAGAGGCTCTTCCGGAGGACCCTGCTGTGTCCCGGCAGAGAGGGCAGCGCTGGGTGCCAGATGCCCCAGATCCCAGCGGTGTGGCTTTGGGCATCCTGGAGCAGATGACCTCAAGGAAGCAGCACCCACTGGGTGCCAGCGATGAGTTGGGGCCACAGTGGGTACTGTCTCCATTATCCCAACCTCTGGGCCAAGAGGCTTGTCCTGAGTTTCAGGGCGGAGGGGCAGCTGGCTCCGGCGCCTGGTGCTGGTGCACTGGTACCGGTAAAGGAACCCACGAGGCATATGGCTCCTAAAGGTTCAGCCGCCCAGCAAAGACCCCTCCCCTAATCCACACGGGGGACAGGGGTGGGAAGGTGGGGACAGGCCCTGGGCAGGAGGACTAGGCCTGGCTCATGGCCAGCTGGGGTCAGCACTGTGGCCAGAGCCCCCTCTATGCACAGGCAGCCTGTGCAGGACAGGGGTTTTAGGATCAGCAGGGAATCCGCAGAGCAGCTCCACAGGGTGGCAGATGGGAAAACTGAGGCCCAAGGAGGGGCGGGGGTAGGAGGGCCCTTCGGAAGGGGGCGGGCCCTCCGCCCAGAGCAGACAGGGGCGTTGACCTGCTGTCCTGCCCCTCCCCCAGCGGCATCCTTTCTCTAGCTTCTGGCGCTGCCCACTGTAACCCGACTCCTGCATTTGCGTTTGGGGCGCCCTCCCTGCGCCGGGGGCGGGAGCCCAGTGAGCGCAGAGCCCCGGCCCGCGCAGCCCAAGTGCCACATCACTGCGCCCGCCGCCTGCCGCCCCGCCATGCCGCCCCCGCTGCTGCTCCTCGCCGTCCTGGTCGTCGCCGCTGCCCGGCCGGGGTGCGAGTTTGACGGGAGCCTTGCCGGTAAGGCCACCCCTGCCCCACCCTTCACCCTGCAACTTCCGGGGAGTGTGACCCGTTGCTTCCCAGGGGCCCACGAGCTTTCTCCCCGCAGATCACGCGCCCATAGCCCCGGCGAGAACGTCTCCAAAGTGGGCACCATGTGGCCTGAGACTGGAGGGTGACCTCGCCCCTGGACGGGGCACCAGGCGGGCTCTGTGTGGCATCCAGGCGGGGTCCCCAGGCTGCAGAGGGACGCCGTGCCCGGGCCGGGGGTGAGGTCCCTCTCCTGTTGGGCACAGGAGGTGGGTGCCCTGCAGGTGGGTCTGAGGGAGCAGGTGCCAGGACTTTGCGAGAGGCCATCCAAGGTCCCGGAGTCCTTCCAGGAACGGGGCGGTCTTTCTGGGCTGTGGCAAACTCTTGACCCCTCCCTCCCAGCCTGGGCTGTGATGTGGACCGAAAGTCTCCAGAAGTATCCCTGAGGGCTGGGTGGGCCCCCTGGAGGGAAGGGGCGCAGCGACCCTCTGGGACCTCACCCAAGGTGTGTGCAGCGGCTGTGGGGAGCAGGCAGAGGCTGGGGGCTGGATCCTGGGCTCCCACCTGGCCTGACGGCCTCTCCAGGTGTGGGGGTGCATCTGGCCAACTGTGCTCAGGGCTCTCATCAGGAGCAGACATCTGGGCTCCTGCAAGGGTGGGGCCCCGTGTGGGCCCCAGGGTTCAGGGTGTCAGGTTCAGAATCACTTGCCCTCGGGGGTTTGTGGATACCTGAGAACCGCCTGCGCCCGGCAAGAGGCTGTGCTGGGAGCGATACCTCGCCTCTCCATCCTGTTGATGCCTGGATTTCCCCTCCATCTCTGCTCCTCGCCTTATGTCTGAACTCTTTTCTCCCCTCTGTGCGGGTGCACATGCAGGTGTGTGTGGGTGTGTGTGGGTGTGAGTGTGTGTGTGTGTGTGGGTGTGTGTGTGGGTGCTGCTGGAGCTTGTGCAGTGTTGTGGATGGGCCTCCCCTCGGCTCCTGAGAGCCCAGACAGTATCTAGAATCAGGCCTGTTGGAGACCACAGCCCCCTCCTCCAGGAAGCTCTCCTGACCTGCCCTTTCCCAGGGAGAGGTGTAGCCTCCTCCTCTGCACACAGGCAGCACAGACTGCCCTGTCCTCACCCAGCTGGATTTGGTGGGGGGCTGGTCTCTGTCCCCGGCAGCTGCTGAGCACAGCTGTGGCCTCGGCAAGTGTTTCTAGGGTAAATTACTCATCCTCCAGTCCAGTCTCCCCTCTTATGGGCGAGGGTGGAAGGCAAGGACCTTTCCAGCCCACAGGCAGAAGTGGGCAGAGCCGGGCAGCTGCAGTGCGGGCCCCACACCCCGGGCTGCTGTGTCCCTGTCTCGCCATCTGGGGCTCACTCAGAGCAAGCCTGGAGCTCTTACCCTCTGTCTCACCCTTTCCTGGTGGAGGATTCCCTGTCCTCACCAGACCCTGGGGACTTTCATGTTCTAGCCCTGGGATTCAGATTCTGACTCCTCAGCTCTGCTGTGTGACACTGGGCAGATGGCCTGACCTCTCTGACCTCATTCAGGTCTCATCCCTGACCTGGGCACAACCACTGGTCAGTTTAGGAGTGGGAAGGCTGACTCGATCTCACTCCCCATTGAAGAAATGCTGCCACCTCGTGGTTAAGAGGCTTAGAACAATTTCCACAGCAGCTTTCAGACCAGCGCCGTCCCACACAAACGCAACGCCAGCCACACACAGAATTTTACATTTTCTGGCAGCCGCACTAAAAAGGTAACAGAAAGAGATGAAATTGATTTTAATAACAAATTCTACTTAACCCAGTATGTCCAAAATATTCCAGTATTTCGACATTAACTTAAAAATTATGAATGAAACATTTGCACTGTGTTGAGTACTGTCTGAAATTTGGTGTGCATTTTACACGTCACACACGTTGGTTTGAACTCACCCCTTGTGAGGGGCTCCGTAGCCACGTGGCTCGTGGCTGCTGTACTGGAGAGTGGGGTTGAGAGCCTTCTGGGGGCCCAAGCTTTTACCCCGCTGTGCATTTGCAAGTCTGCAGGGGGGTCTGGGGATGTCTGTGTCCCACGGTGGGTGGGGTGGGGAAGTGCTGGTGAACAGACCAGCCACCCATGGGTGCCCTGGCTTTGTTCTGTGGCTACCAGGGCAGGTGTGGCCTGGGATAGGCAGATAGTGGGCGTTGGGTCAGTGGCCCACTCCTGTGTGGTGAGGGGCAAAAACCACAGGCCTCTGGAGGCCGAGCCCACTGGTGAAGGTCCAGCCACATCATGGAACTGGCTGTGTGGTCTTGGGGCAATTGCAGCCCTTGCGGGTCCCTCCCAGGCCATCCTGACTCTCCTGTGGCCACAGCAGCACCCACTGGGGCTTGCTGATTGTTGGGGGTAGAATTGTGTCATCCAGAAAAGACATGCTGGTGACATCATCCCTGGTACCTGTGAATGGAAACTGGCTTGGAGATAGGGCCTTTGCAGATGAAATCTGATTACCACGAGGCCACACGGGATTGGGGCAGGCCCTAAGCCCAGTGACTGGCATCTCTAGAAGAAGAGGGAGATTTGGACAGAGACAGAGCCAGGGACAGTTCACACATGACAACAGAGGCAGGGACCGGAGTGCTGTGGCCACAAGCCAAGGAGCACCTGGTACCACCAGGAGCTGGAAGGGGCAGGAGGGGCCTTCCCTTAGAGCCTTCGGTGTGCCTCCCCCGCAGACCCGCTGATTGCAGCTTCCGGCCTCCGGGACGCTGAGTTGTGGCTGCTTTAACCCACGCATGGCGGGCACTTTGCTAGGGCAGCCCTGGCAAACAAACCCACCCATCTGTGCCTTGTACATGGCGGCCAGTGGAAGGGGGGTGACCGAGCCTGCAGATACTCTTCCACCCCCTTGGGAAACCCCGATGGGGCTGCACAGCTGGTTGGGGGTCACGATGGACAGTCTTGCTCCTGCCTACCGTGCGCTCCCAGCCTCTGTGGAACGCTCACTGGGCACCTCGCTGTCGTGTTAGTCTCAATGGGTCCTCCGACAGCCCTGTGAGGTAGGGGTGACCATTATCCCAATTCACGCATGAGGAAACTGAGGCACAGGGAGTGGTTCATCCTGGAGCCTTAGTGCCCTCATCTGTGAATAGGGAAGACTCACCTGTCCAGGCCCTGTGTGATGGTCCAGTCACTCGTGTGGGTGCTCAGTGGCTTTGGAGGAGCAGGTGCAGGGATGGACACCTCACCTTGCAGCTCCCAAGGCCAGCAGAGGCCCAAGGTCAAGTCAAAGTCAGTTCTTCCTCTCACTCACGTCTGCTGTCTGTCTAGATGAAGTTCCAGGTTCACCCAGGCCGCCAGCTCAGGGCCAGGCCAAGCTCAGTGCCAGCCGGGCACTGTCAGAGCCCTGTGATGAGTGCCCAGGGAGTGGAGTAGGGGCGCTGGGCTGGGATCACCTTGACCCCTGAGTTGACGGCACGGAAGCATCTGCCTCAGTACAAGCTCAGTGCAGGATGGGACCGCGAGTCAGCTGAGTGCAAAGCCTGGTGCTGGAGTGGCCCCACTGGTGGCCACTGGGGCTCCTCGCGGGATGGGTGCTCACATGGGTTTGTGTGTGGATCAAGCCTTTTATCTGTTCTTCGCAACATCACCTAGTTGTCTTTAGCCGCACAGACAGGCAGGTGAGGGCACCGTGTTCCAGGCAGAATCCCGGATCAGCTTTTTAAAGTTCCTTTTTCCCTGAAGTGTGGGTTCAAGCTGTCATGCCTCCTTTATGCTGCAGATGGGTGGAGTCTGGGGACGCTCTGGACCCTGAAGGCCTGAGAGTCACTGAGGGTGCCCAGGGAGCCCCACGCCCACAGACCTATGACAGCCGTCGGGGGACTGAAGCTCCCCTGTGCTCACCCCAGAGCATGTTGTGGGCACCCGCAGGCATGGATGGGCGGCCACAGATGGGCAGGCACACTGCAGCCCCCTCCCAGATGCTTTAGGAAAACAATACCCTTACCTGTTACTCTCCCCTGCTTAGCACAGCACGGGCTCCTGCGGCCGGTCTCTGCGTTGCTCTGAAGCTGTCGCGGTAATGATACGCATTGTGACTCTGAAGCCTTTAACCCGTGTCAAATCCTGGGCTGGGCCCGGACTGTGGACCGTCTCATCTCAGTATTTCTGCAAAATGATGATAGTGAACGCATGTGAAATGGGGGAGACGGGGACACGAAAGAGCCACGTGCCTGGGCCACTGCTGTGATGCAGGGTCTGTGCCTGGGCCTGGTGGTCTGGGGCTGGGCATCTTCCCTGCCCTCCACGGCCCTCGTGGCCCATGGTCCATGTTCCCTACCAGCTTGGACAGGGAGGGAGGGTGAGCCCAAGTGCCACCGAGTGTTCCCCAGG